GGATCTTTAGTCAAACGCTCTACCATTGAGATATACCACAGGCTGAAGGGATCCACAGGAATATATAGCAAAACTTTGAAGGGGCTGAAATGCCAGTGACCAGCAGATGAAGACATGCTTTTGATTCATTTCAATGAGAGAAAATAAAAGCAGAAAAAGTTGAATAACTTAAAACGTTTAAAAGATGTGAACACCAAAAGTGATAGCCACGTTGTCCTTAGATAGCTGCACATTTTGATTCCTTATTTGTTGAAATAGGCTGAAAACTGTGGGCGTAGTTAGACACAGAATAAGAGATAAAGGAAAACAATGTGGGGCAAAGTGCTGTAAACATGTCTGAGATTAAACAGAGCTCAGTTGTGGTTTTAAAGGTCTCTTCTCAGCTCAGTTTTGCACTTGTCTGCCTAAAACCGGCCCCCGTTCTTAATAAAGTCCCTAACAGCTCAGTTGGCTCCTCCACAGTTTTTCAGCTGGGAGCTGATCCACCGAGCGGCCAAAGCCCAGAATCAGCTTCTGCTTCCTGGGGAAGAAAAAAGACGAAAAAAGACCAAATAAAAACAGGTCTCACCTGAAGAAGGTGACGAAGAACTGCACCAGGTCCATGATGTTGTTGTGCTGAGAGAAGGCGATCTGCAGGAGAGAGAGTAGCAAAGCCGTCATTTTTTAAAAAAGCATCAGTCGTTACGGTAACTGTGTGAGCTCTGACTTCATGGGTCACATTTATCCCGTTTAAAGCTCAAATTTTAAGGAAATCTGAGACTTTGAGCCTCACACAGCTGGAATAGCTGCTCACTGACTTTGAAATCATGGAAGACATTTTATTCAATGATTTTGATTCTTTCAAAGAGTTTAACCCAAAAGTATCATTCTAAAGGGAACAATATGAATCTAAAAAGGAACCAGAACATTTTTGAAGAAATTTTGGAGGTGGGCCCCTACTGCCCGTCCAGGACCCCGGGGCAGGTCGGCCAATCGATATTTGGGCTCTCTGTAATGTGGGCTCGCGCCTATGAGAGGGCCTGAGGTGATGGAGGGACCCGACTGAGCTCTGGGGCCCGCTGACCGAATGCGGATGGGGTGGGCAGGTCGGGGGTCACGTTGGCTGAAAGCTGAGAAAAAGACCTATGCAACGAGGTATGCCATGGCTGGGTCCGGTCCCGGTCCGGTTGGGTCCTATCCCCAGAACCAGAACCAGAACCGGGCTCTGACTAAAGCCCTATAAGCGGGCTTCGCCCGCCATAGTAACAGGAATAACGTATTTCTAAAAAAATCACTGAGAGCGGGCTTCGCCCGCCTTTAAGCTCACAGCTCACACACCTCTGCAGAGAGCCACAGTGCTGCTGTGGCTCTCTGTTGGTCGCCACGGCGACAGCAGCCAGGCCAAAGTCTCAGCTCCCACACCTGTGACTCATCAGTAAGCCGTAGCTGTGACACAGACAACTGACGGATAGGATCAAAAGTTGCCTCCGAACTACTGCCCGCTGTTCAAAAACTATTTCACAAAACTGGAAAATTCTTGGACCGTGAGCGCCTACAGAGTTTAAGGTCGAAGCCAGTGTATTTCATTTCCCAGCGGTTATTTTTTATGGCAATTTCAAAATGAGGGCCGTTTTGTCTCTGGGGAAAAAAAATTCTCCTTTCTTCCATTAAAATCCTATTAGAGAGTGTTGTTGAAAGTCGCGACTCTGGGCCCGATTGCCAGAAAACCGTAAGGCCGAGTTGGAAAGCTGCCGAAAGAGGACGCCCGCGGCTACGTTTTGAGGCCATTTTGGTTCCGCTCGGCCCTACGGTTTGGTCGCGAGAGGCCGTAGTTTGACTTTTTTTCGGTGAACCTGCCCACAGGGCTCTCAGAGGCCTTAACGAGCTGAGCTAGAGTGCGGGTCAGGATTTTCTGAATTTCACTAAAACGTCAACAGCGATTGCGGGCAAACGGTGCAAGATCTAGCCTCGTGGCTCCGATATGGCGGAGGCCCATCTTTCTTGTCCCGTTCAATGTTCGAACGAGGTCTCTCGGACATCGTGGGGCCGAGTGAGGAGGCCCTGACGGGCCTCATCTCTCTGCTTTTTTTTGGGCCCGTTTGTCGGCGGCCCCATTCATTCCTATGGCCCAAATTTCGACATTTGGGCCATGTGGGTTATTCCAGGTAAACTTCAGCTCCAGGCAGGTTTATTTTACAGCACTCTGTACAAGACAAATCAATGTGCTTTACAAAGAGTTTAAAAGCAGAGAAAGCTAAAGATAATAAGTTAAATCAGTTGAATAGATTTTTTCAGCCTGGATTTAAATATTCAGAGTTGCTAAGGTGAGTAATTATAGCCAGATTCTAACAGCCCCAAAAAGAAAAACCTAGAGAGTGGCGGACAAATGCAGAACCTGCTGCTTTGTTCAGGCCATGGAGCTGACAGAAAACTCTGATGGTTTCAGAGGGTCTCATCTCATCTCTGAGTCTGAGTCTGAGGTTGGTATGAGGTGCTGACGCGGTGGTTTTAGTTCCCGGGTGTTTCAGAGCTGCTGTAAAATCGAAAAATTACCGACGCGCGGCCTCATAATCCATCCATCCCCACCTATTTCAGACGGGCTCTTCCACTGGGGGATACCTCTTAAAGGCCCCATTAGCCCACTCTTCTGGGACGCCCTCGGAGGGGGGGGGGGGGGGGGGGGGAAAAAGGGGGGAGGGGGGCGAGGACGAGAAGGCGGGTTTCAAAAAGGGAAAAAAAAAAAAGAAAAAGAAAAAAAAAA